TTGTGGAACTAGTGGTGCTGCCTGAGGGAAAGAAAGCGGTACAATGCAGTGGGTGCTAAGGATCAAGACTGACGACAAGGGGCAGGTCACCATCTACAAGAGTAGTTTGGTGGCTAAGGGGTTTATGCAGAAGGAGAAGCGGGACTTCAATGAGATCTTTGCTCCCACTGCCAAACCCCCTACCCTTCGTGTCTTGTTGGCAGATGCAGCCGTTAGTGGGAAGTTCATTATCCAGATGGACATATCAACGGCATTTCTCAACGGGATTTTAGAGGAGGAGGTGTTCATGACGCAGCCACCTGGGTATGCAGGATGGTACGGGCAGGGTGTGCAAGCTGAAAAAGTCCATCTATGGCTTGAAGCAGGCGCCACGCTGCTGGTACCAGAAGTTGGCAGCTGTTTTAGAGGAGATGGGATTCAGGACCAGCAGCTGTGATGAGAGCCTCTTTCTCAAGGGGGAGGGGGAGAAGCTGGTGCTGTTTCTGGTCTATGTGGACGACATTCTTCTCTTTAGCAGCAGCATGAAGGAGATCCAGAAGGTGCAGCAGCAGCTGATGGAGAACTTCAAGTGCAAGAACCTTGGGGAGGTAAAGTACTACCTCGGGATGCACGTGGAGAGGGATCTGGATCACAGGTGGTTGAAGCTGCACCAGGAGAAGTTCATCAAGGAGCTTGGGGAGAAGTACGGAATTGAGAATGAGCGCAAGGTTGCAACTCCCCTGCCAGCAGAATTCAAGCTTGTGAAAGCTGCAGATGATGAAGGGGTTGAAGCCGAGGAGCAGCACCAATTTCAGTCCTTGGTGGGCAGCCTCTTGTATGCAGCAGTTCACACGAGGCCCGACATCTCTTTCTCGGTTGGGCAGCTTGCTAGGGTGGTGCAGAATCCATCAGAGGAGCAGGTGGATGCAGCTGAGCGTGTGGTGAGTATCTGAACTCTCACCCAAGCGTTGGAGTTCAATACTCCGCATCTGCACAGGTGAAGCAGAAAGGGGTTGAGGTGCTGAAAGAGAAGGGGGAGAGGCTTGGAGAAGGCAAAGCTTTTTCTCACTTGCTTTACCGATGCTACGTGGGCCTCTGAGAAGGAGGATTCCTCATCTGTGGGAGGATACATCTGCGTAGTTGGGGGAGGACCGGTTAGTTGGAGGTCAAAGAAGGAGACCGAGACAGCACTCTCTTTCGTGGAGTCAGAGTACATGGCAATGTTTCATGGGGTGAAGGAGGTGATTTGGCTGAGGAGGCTGTTGGAGGAGATTGGCCAGGAGCAAAAGGTTGCTACGCCGCTGTTTTGTGATAGCAAGGGAGCTCTTGGGATGGCCAGGAACGCTGTGCTTCATGGGCTCAATAAGCACATGCGTATCAAGTGGCACTGGCTGCGTAAGGAGGTGAAGAGGGGGACGGTGAATCCGATCTACATCAAGGACTCACCAGCAGCCAGCAGGACTTCCTCACCAAGAGGCTTGCGGATGAGCCTCATTGGCATTGTGTGCGCATGAGTGGAATGAGCATGAACTAGTATGGAATGATGGGATGCAGCCGGCAGGCTGAGGGGGAGTGTGTTGGGTGCAAATTCACATTGCACGACATCCTGCCGTCTGTTTGTACGAGTATGCGTGTGCGAATGCATTTGCGTGTGAATGGTATGTTTGTGTGTTTGTTTGCTTTCGCAATTTTCCGCTTGAAGCATTTGCAGGTACTCGCAAAATGTGCGCTTCGGCATAACATTGTACGCGCTATGAACAGAACAAGCAGAAAGGACGAGCTCGCAAAGGAACCCAAGATGGAAGCTTTGCGGTTCAAACTTACTTGATTGCGCAGATTCAGTTCTATCCAACTCGAAATTGTACTGTTTTGTTTGGTTGACTATAATGTAGCAGGGCAGGCACTATAGGTGGTACAATTTAGGTGAAGGTTGGATGTTGTTTGTCTGTATCTGCATGCTACAGGGCCAGGGGAAACCAGCGGAACCAGCATTTGGCTGGTTGGGCAAAGACAAAACAGGTTCTGTTTTTAGGACCTGAACCTGATTGTTGTTTTCCCCAGGTTGGAAAAACAGAACCAGAGGTTGTTCACCAACCTACCACCTGCTATTTTGTCCAGCCAGGTTGGTTCTGTGCTTGGGAATTATTTGGGATCATCCCTGGTTGTTCCCAGGTTGATTCCCAAGGTCCTTGCTAGCTAGAGCTATATAATCCTTCTCTGTTTGTACCTGAATATAGTGAAATTGATTCAAGCGAATTCCTCCCTTCCTGGAATTTCGTTTCTACGCGGTGGCAACGGCGGAATGCTACCCGAGTCAACGCTAGTACGCTAGCACTCCAACGCTAGGCAAAACGCTGTCCGAGCCATAACTTCGTAATGGCAAAACTTTTCGCGAGGCAACTTGGCTTATTTTAAAGCTCTTAGAGTGAGCCTTCGATATAGTAAATTCTCAGCTTAATCCGATCAACGGTCTGCACAATACGCTGCGCAACGTTCAAGGTACTCTTGCTGTTTGACTAAGTCCCTCTTGATCCCTCTCTCTACAAACTCGGACCCGAAGATAGGGGCTGGTCTTGTACCAGGCACCCAAGGACCCTTGGAGGTGACCCCGAGGAGAGGTTTTAAGTTTGATAAAGTCTTAATAGCTTGAGTTTATTAGGCCCTTACACCAACATGTCGACCCTGCTCAAGAAGCACCTCCTAACAGCTGGGACTAGCATAGTTGCTGTAGGCGCTTCTCGTGGCACTCCTCGCACCCCCTTCTTTGAGGGGTGTTCGCCCTCCCCCCTTCTCCCCTCAGTCGCCTCTGCTGCAGCTGTTGACTACCTTCGTGCTGAGGAGGTTGGAGCTGCGTCTGCCAGTAGTGGGAGGCGCCGCAGCGGCAGGGGCTGGAAGGGCAGGAGCGGTGGGGTGGCAAATGTGGAGGCGGTGGTGGGGGCGGTGGAGGCGTTGGTGGGGGCGGCGGTGGAGGAGGAAGTGGTGGTGGGGGCGGCGGGGCAGGTGGCGGCGGTAGTGGCGGCAGTGGGAGTGGTGGAGGTAGTGGTGGTGGCGGCGGTAGTGGCGGCAGTGGGGGTGGAGGCGGCAGCGGTGGGGGTGGAGGCGGCAGCAGTGGGGGTGGCAGGGGTGGCACCAGCCAGAGGGAGGCCTTGGAGGTGGCCAGCAGCAGCAGCAACGTCAGCCCCTTTCGTCCCAGGAGCTCCGTGAGTGGTTTGCTCAGCGTGGGAGGACTGGGGGTAGTGGTCCCTGCCCGTATGTTATTCGCACAGGTCAAACATACGAGTGGTCTCACACTCAGCACCGCTGCTTCAACCGCCTTACCGACGCCTTTCGCGCAGAGTTTCCTTATGCACCTAAGCTTCCCGACTGGGCGGCGCTGCTTAGGCAGAATGTTGATATCTTTGCTCTAGACTTTGATGCTATCCTATCTGCCATGTATGCATTGACTATTGGTGATGAGGGTGATTGTTACCTGTGTCTGCCGCCAGACCCAGGTATAGAGGCTGCTGCTCTAGGTGCTAGTGAGTCTGCTGCCCTAGGTGCTGGTGAGTCTGCTCTCTTTGGTACTGCGTCTGCTGCGGCCCTACACACCTTCACACTTGACTCAGGTGCTTCCTGCTGTCTCTTTCGCAACAGTACCACAGTCACACCGCTCACTGCACCTGTTGCTGTGTCGTTGGCTGACCCCTCTGGGGGCCCAGTCCTTGCACGTTCCTCCAATGTTCTGCCCTGTCCGGCGGTTCCGTCTTGGTCATTGTCAGGTCTCCTCCTCCCCCCGTTCTCTACGAACTTGGTGAGCACAGCTACCCTCAAGGATGCGGGGGTTGACATCTTCACCCTTGGATGGCAGCGTGTGGCGTTCTGTACGTGCTCTCGGACCGGTAGCCACCTGGCCTCAATAACACGTCCGCCTAGGTCGAGTCTGTACACACTGACTACTGCGCCTCCTCAGTGTTTAGTCAAGAGTCCACTTAGAGGTCGCGGATGCCCATGAAACCGCCTAAGCAGAATCTGACGTCTTCAAACCGCCTCTGTTCAAAACGCCGTCACGATCAGCTCCGATAACACATGAGCCTGAAACTTGGACAGCAGTTAGCCTTAGATGTCTGCTTTATTCGTGTAAGGGCCTAATAAACTCAAGCTATTAAGACTTTATCAACTTAAAACCTCTCCTCGGGGTCACCTCCAAGGGTCCTTGGGTGCCTGGTACAAGACCAGCCCCTATCCTCGGGTCCGAGTTTGTAGAGAGAGGGATCAAGAGGGACTTAGTCAAAACAACAAGAGTACCTTGAACGTCGCGCAGCGTATCGTGCAGACCGTAGATCGGATTAAGCTGAGAATATACTATATCGAAGCTCACTCTAAGAGCTTTAAAATAAGCTAAGTTGCCTCGCGAAAAGTTCTGCCATTACGAAGTTATGGCTCGGACAGCGTTAGCCTAGCGTTGGAGTGCTAGCGTACTAGCGTTGACTCGCGTAGCATTCCGCCGTCGCACCGCGTAGAAACGAAATTCTAGGAAGGGAGGAATTCGCTTGAATCAATTTTACTATGTTCAGGTACAAACAGAGAAGGAATAAATAGCTCTAGCTAGCAAGGACCTTGGGAATCAACCTGGGAACAACCAGGGATGATCCCAAATAATTCCAAGCAACAGAACCAACCTGGCTGGACAAAATAGCAGGTGGTAGGTTGGTGAACAACCTCTGGTTCTGTTTTTCCAACCTGGGAAAACAACAACCAGGTTCAGGTCCTAAAAACAGAACCTGTTTTGTCTTTGCCCAACCAGCCAAATGCTGGTTCCGCTGGTTTCCCCTGGCCCTGTAGCATGCAGATACAGACAAACAACATCCAACCTTCACCTAAATTGTACCCCTATAGTGCCTGCCCTGCTACACTATAGTCAACCAAACAAAACAGTACAATTTCGAGTTGGATAGAACTGAATCTGCGCAATCAAGTAAGCCGAACCGCAAAGCTTCCATCTTGGGTTCCTTTGCGAGCTCGTCCTTTCTGCTTGTACTGTTCATAGCGCGTACAATGTTATGCCGAAGCGCACATTGTGCGAGTACCTGCAAATGCTTCAAGCGAAAATTGCGAAAGCAAACAAACACACGAACATACCATTCACACGCAAATGCATTCGCACACGCATACTCGTACAAACAGACGGCAGGATGTCGTGCAATGTGAATTTGCACCCAACACACTCCCCCTCAGCCTGCCGGCTGCATCCCCATCATTCCATACTAGTTCATGCTCATTCCACTCATGCGCACACAACGCCAATGAGGCTCATCCGCAAGCCTCTTGGTGAGGAAGTCTGCTGGCTGCTGGTGAGTCTTGATGTAGATCGGATTCACCGTCCCCCTCTTCACCTCCTTACGCAGCCAGTGCCACTTGATACGCATGTGCTTATTGAGCCCATGAGGCACAGCGTTTTTGGCCATCCCAAGAGCTCCCTTGCTATCACAAAACAGCGGCGTAACAACCTTTTGCTCCTGGCCAATCTCCTCTAACAGCCTCCTCAGCCAAATTACCTCCTTCACCCCATGAAACATTGCCATGTACTCTGAATCCACGGACGAGAGTGCTGTCTCCGTCTGCTTCTTTGACCTCCAACTAACCGGTCCTCCCCCAACTACGCAGATGTATCCTCCCACAGATGAGGAATCTTCCTTCTCAGAGGCCCACGTAGCATCGATAAAGCAAGTGAGGAAAAGCTTGCCTTCTCCAAGCCTCTCCCCCTTCTCTTTCAGCACCTCAACCCCTTTCTGCTTCACCTGTGCAGATGCGGAGTATTGAACTCCAACGCTTGGGTGAGAGTTTAGATACTTCACCACACGCTCAGCTGCATCCACCTGCTCCTCTGATGGATTCTGCACCACCCTAGCCAGCTGCCCAACCGAGAAAGAGATGTCGGGCCTCGTGTGAACTGCTGCATACAAGAGGCTGCCACCAAGGACTGAAATTGCTGCTGCTCGTCGGCTTCAACCCCTTCATCCTCTGCAGCTTTCACAAGCTTGAATTCTGCTGGCAGGGGAGTTGCAACCTTGCGCTCATTCTCAATCCCGTACTTCTCCCCAAGCTCCTTGATGAACTTCTCCTGGTGCAGCTTCAACCACCTGTGATCCAGATCCCTCTCCACGTGCATCCCGAGGTAGTACTTTACCTCCCCAAGGTTCTTGCACTTGAAGTTCTCCATCAGCTGCTGCTGCACCTTCTGGATCTCCTTCATGCTGCTGCTAAAGAGAAGAATGTCGTCCACATAGACCAGAAACAGCACCAGCTTCTCCCCCTCCCCCTTGAAAAAGAGGCTCTCATCACAGCTGCTGGTCCTGAATCCCATCTCCTCTAAAACAGCTGCCAACTTCTGGTACCAGCAGCGTGGCGCCTGCTTCAAGCCGTAGATGGACTTTTTCAGCTTGCACACCCTGCTCGTACCATCCTCATACCCAGGTGGCTGCGTCATGTAGACATCCTCCTCTAAAATCCCATTGAGGAATGCCGTTGATATATCTATCTGAATGATGAATTTCCCACTAACGGTTGCATCTGCCAACAAGACACGGAGGGTAGGGGGTTTGGCAGTGGGAGCAAAGATCTCATTGAAGTCCCGCTTCTCCTTCTGCATAAACCCCTTAGCCACCAACCTACTCTTGTAGATGGTGACCTGTCCCTTGTCATCGGTCTTGATCCTTAGCACCCACTTGCACTGTACGGCTTTCTTCCCCTCAGGCAGCACTACTAGTTCCCAAGTCCCATTCTCCAGCATCCCTAGAAGCTAGCCATTTGTCCCTATCTGGTCCAGCTAATGCCTCCTCCATGCTAGCTGGTTCCTCTGGTGCAGGGGCAAGAAAACAGTAGGCAGGTTCATCCTCCTCATCCGGATCATAGCCATGCGGTAGAATCAGCAATGCCTCCTCGGTCCCAAGCTGCTGCTCCGCTACATCAGCTCCTGCAGTCAGCGTCTTAGTAGCCATACGGGTACGTCCTCGCCTGGAGACGGGTGTCTCCCATCCCTTCATAACCACACCCTTCGGCTTCTTAGTTTTTCCCTGCTGCTGCTCTCCTCCCTCGGATCCAGCAGCTCCACTAGTGCTACCGCTAGTCTCCACACCATCACCTCCACCAGCAGGTGCCTCCTGCACCTTCTTTCCATCACCACCCTCTGCAGCTGCCTCCTCTCCCTCCTCCCACACACTAGGAGTCAGGTCCAGCTGCATGGTGATCTGCTCCATCTGCTGGGACACCCTGGCCTCCGGCTGTTTCTCCCAGCTCCCATACATCATGCCCTCAACAAACTTCACTTCCCTGCTGTCAAACAACACACCCTTCGAAGGCTCCCACAGCAGCCATCCCTTGCTCTCAGCAGATCCCAAAGCACCCGATTGCCCAGCTTCCCTTTATAAGTGCGAGCCCCATCCGTGTTGGTGTTCACCCCAGCCTTGCCAAGCTTACGGAGGGAGATAAGGTTGGCCTTCAGGTCGGGGACGAGGAGAACATCGTGCAGCACCACCGGCTTGCCATCCGCTCCCTTAAACGCAGCTCGTCCCGCACCAGCCACCTTCAACATGTGTCCAGAGGCAGAGCACACCTCATTAATCGGTGCAGCGCGTACATCGTCCAGCAGGTCCTTGCGCGGCGTCATTGTCCATGCAGCGCCTGTGTCCAACACCCAATAGTCCAGGGGGTGCAGCTCTGCTCCAGCCTTAGCAGATGCGTCTCCTTGCTCCCCCTTGTCTCCCACATGGAAGAATTGGCCCGCGGTGCGCTCCTTCTTCTTTTCCGCACCACCGTTGCCCTTCGGGTTGTTGTCGGACGAATCAGCGACCATGTTGGCGCCGTTTTTCTGGTTCCTCCGCGCGCCGCCATGCTGGTGACGATTCTGGGGGGGTCCATCCATCGGGTTTCTTATAGCACAAAAACCAGGGGTGCCCTTCCTTCTTACAATACCAGCAACTCCCTTTCATTTTGCCACCAGCACCCGACTTGCCCCCACGTCCAGATTTCGCACCGCGACCCCAACCGGTACCTCCTTGTTGGTCGTTGGAGTCGTCGTCTTTCTTTGCACCGCGTCCAGCACCACCGAAGCCACGTCCTTTGCCACGTCGGCTCCCTTGCATCCCGTAGCCGCTGCTGCCGTCGTCTCCACCCCTCAGTTGGCGGCGACGGAAGTCCTCCTCCAGAATCTTCGTCCGCACCCACTCGAGCGTCCACAAGCTCTGGTTTTGCGGCAGGCTCAATCCGCTCGTGAATTGAAGCCACGATTCGGGCAGCAGCGAGAGCATCTTCAGGCACTTGGTCTGCTTCGGGTAGGTGATTCCCGCGATCGCCAGCTTCGCGTAGAGATCACGCATCTTGTCCAGGATGGGTTGTACCGGCTCTCCCTCGCTTAGGCGCAACGCGGACAGCTCCCTCTCCATCATGAGCGTCGCAGCGACGGAGGTAGGGGCGTGCAGCTCCTTCAACACGGTCCACGCCTTCGGACCGCACTCAACCTCCGGCAGCAGGTGCATGACGTGGTGACGCTGGTTCAGCTCCAAACTCTGCGACATCAAGTAGTAGCCAGCCGAGGCGCGCTCGTCCCAATCTTCCTGAAAGGCGGGGTCACTCGGTCTAGGCTCCTCCCCAATCATTAGTTTCAGCAATCCGATCTGACGGAAATAAAGTTGCATTTTCCAGACCTAATCATCATAGCCCTCACCATTGAACTTCTCGACGGTGAAGTTTTTCAGCACCTCCTTGATCAGCGAGCCCTGGCTTGTTCGCGCTCCCCTTGGCGCAGAAACACAAGAATCATGGCTGCCGCTACGATCTTGGGCTGAAGATTCACCAGCTACCGCCGAGGTGTTCCCCGCCATAGCTACCTATAACGAGGATCACTATAACGCAGCTCTGATAC